TTGACAACTTGTGAATACAAAAGACGAACCGAGTTATTCGGGAAGGTACTGACAACAATTTCCATAAAACATCGATGTCAAGTCTTAATGTTATTTTTTATATTTTATTTTTATTTCTGCTTATTTATTTATAAATAAATATAGTTAAATTCGTATTTTCATATAAAGCCTAAAATTGTATGCATCATACTACTTCTTTGCTACTATCAATTCATTTTACGGTACCTCTGCATCGACCTATGCGTAAAAAGCACGTAGTGTCATCGGCCATCTGACTCATGCCCGAAATTTACTCGAGCCTGGTCTCCTCAAACCGCCCAAAAGAGGAGGGAGAAAGTACACATTTCTTTTAATCTCTTGTCCGATTCATTCGAACTGTTCGTTTTCGTTAGTGCTTGACGAGGGTGGGCGAAAAAGCCGAGTTCGACCAATCAGAGTCTGCTTTCTTCCACGACGAGCATCATTCGAAGAGGTTCTACACTCGCGGTCAAAATGAAGTGCTGCTGCAGTTCTGTACCGCTCTTGTCAACGGAATACAGGAGCACTGCACAAATGGGTGCCGAAAGAGTAGCAACCAGCTCACAAGAGGATAATTTTATAAACATTTTCTCTCCTCTTTAGGCAGCCCAAAGTCTTCCCTTGGCACAAGACTCAGCCATGACAGCGTGAGATCTCGGAATGGCAGCAAAGGCTCAATGTCGTCTGGCATGACAACTGCCCCACTCCGGACAGGCCGTACGTCGCATCAAGTTGGATACGATCAAGTCTAGTTATTCACGCAATTGTGGAGTACAGTTGTCCAAGTGACCATCTGAAAATGTCCACATTTAAATGTACACTTGAGCCTCCCAGAAAAGTGGCTTGGCATATGTTTAAGAAGATTCCAAACGTGGATAGGAAATGGTTGTATCCAGTCGGAAACGACATACCCGCAAGACTCTAAGGCTACAGTTTGCTGCCAGGGCACTGGAGACTTTTAAGCAGGCTTCCAAGCTGATCCGGTTTGCCTTGACGTTAAGTTCCTGCAGCGTCTGGTTCGACTGGAGACCTTCGCAGAGACTGCATGCACCATCTTTTGAGAAACCGTTCCAGGAGACGTCAAGAAATTTAAGTCCATAATTGTTCTGAATTGAGAAAAGCAGCAACCAAATTGTTAGACAAAAGGCATCTGAGAAACGAAGGCAACTGATGATTTATTTTCTCTTGTCAATATTATATTATATTATAATTAAGTATTTAACTTTGCTTACTTTTAGGGAAAGTCCAAGCATTACGGCACCCTCTCTGCGAATCTGGTTCCATCTTAAGGAGAGCCATTGCAGCGAATTGTTTTCATCTAAAATTATTTTTACAAGAAGCACAAATTAGTGTACTGTTGACAATGTGACGTTAGATGCAACTAGATTGAAAAGAGAATAATCGAAAAAGTAAACATTTATATTCTCTATTACGGTGGTATCACGTATCTTAGGCTATTTTGGTATCTTCTGTTCTGACAAATATAAAATAAATATATATACAGTAATATAATATAAATGTTAATATATTACTAAAATGGGTCCCCGTGTTCTTTTGAC